TTGACATGCCGCTTTAGCTCCCCCATCTCCGCCACCATTCGCCGGATGACGGCGTCCTGGTTCTTCAGCTTATTTTCCAGACGTCTGGCGTGTGAGTCTCTTCTCCACCGGTGACCGTCTGGACTCCGTGAATGACCATGACTTCTTCTGCGCTTATCCCGCGCGTCTCCCGACTGTCCTCCTGGAAATGTCTCCAAGTCCCCCATCGGAGTAATGGTGGGGTGTCCCTCTCTCCGTCTGCCTGACTCTGGAGTGGCTCCATCGATGGCGGGCAGTGGAATCTCTTCGTTGTTCGCCATAGAAAACGATCGGATGAGCTTGGAAGACAAGGTTTTATCTGCAAAGTTTCCAACACACGGCGTCAATTGTACAGGGAGCAAATATTCAGGCAATCCCGTACTCCCTTCTTCCATGCTCCGCTTCTATCCGATCACCTGCGTACACACAGACGGTGAGCTACCCGGCGGTGTGTGGCCGGAAAACCCCTCCAATAGTCAAGTTAGAACACACACCAGGGGATAGATAGAGAGAAGGGAGAGAATTGTGTTTAGTGTTTATCTCACCAAAAATGTCCTGTGTCAAGCATGGGGGCGCAGACTTGCTTATATACCTTCTGCGCCCAAAATCTACTCCCAGTGATCTCTCGACACGTGGTTCTGCTATCCTATCTGTCAGCACAAATCTTTGCTGAGCATCACTTAACCCAATTGCCAGCCCACTCTACTGGGAGCTCGGCAGCCGGGCAACATTATCTCGGCTATCAATGGCCATACTCCACTTCAAGCCCAAGCGCAGTTGACGGCGTAATTCTCCTCCAACCGGGCTCATTTCTAGCCATGCTCGACTGCATTCCAACGACGCGGAGATGGAGGTTGATCAAGTTGGTCGTGCCGGGCTGTGTATTACAACCGAGCAACGCGCGAGCTGTGGAACCCTTACCTGATTGAACCTTAACCTGCTCGGTCTCCGTGCCAACGAAATCAGGTAGCTCGGTTCCACAAGGCCTTTGCCATTACCGAGCAAGATCATGGCCCAATCTCAAAGCCAAATACCTCGGCCCAACCTCGTTCGGCCCAATATGTCCGGCTAATTCCACCTTCCCAAATTCAAATCATTAATCTCCCTCTCAATCAGATTTTATATGATTTGTTAGTGGGTTCACTTTTAAAATTTTTTATCTGTTTGTATATATTATGTATCTACTTTTGTGCCTGAATTTTATATTCATAAACTTATCAATATAAAAATTACTAATGACAATCCTTTGAATTGTTAATAATATTTAAAGAAAAATTCTATTGTCCTAGTTTCTTTTTTTTTTATTTTTTTTATTTTTTTTACAGCCATGGCACTTTTGTAAATAAAATATATTTTGATGGATTTTAAATTTTAAAACGATAGGTTTATAAATTTAGGGGTTTTTTTTTTAAGGTCCCTCATATTAAGGTTGCATAGCATAAAGGACATTCAATATTTTTATAATATCTAAGGTCCCTCAACAATATTTTCATAATGTTTAAGGTCCCTTAACCTTGATCCAGAGAAATTTCAGTCCAGAGAAAATTGGTCCAGAGAAATTTCAGTCCATAGAAAATTAGTCTAGAGAAATTTCAGACCAAATTTCTCTGGAAAGTCTAATTATTCTTAGAATTTCTCTGGCCCAATTCTTCCCAGAATTTCTCAATATTCTAATGCATTGGTTGATCCAATTCTTCTCAGAATTTTTCTGGCCTAATCCTTCCTAGAATTTCTCTTATGCATTAACTGACTGTCCTGACCATATGCAATCACATGCTCTTATGGACATTATGTAGCACTTTGTTCTCTTTACTATATCACTAAGAAAATTTCTAGATCTGCTGCTACTTTTAGCATGCAAAATGCCCATGATTTTGTTTGGTATTGATTAGTACTCTTTCTCTCTTACAGTTTTTTCCCCTTGTCTTAAGTTTATGTCTCAATCCTTTGCACATTGTCAATTTCTCTGACTTTATGTATTATGTAAGCCAACAATACAATCTTTACTAACAAAACCATAAATTTCTCTGGTCCAAAACCAGAGAAATTCTCTTCAAACCAGACAGATTAGAGAAATTCTCTCTATTTGCAGAGTTGTATTCTTATGAACAAACCTTGGTTATTGTACATTGATCCAGGAAATTTTTCTGACTACAAAGAATTTCTATGACTTTGTGTAATATATTTGGCCAGATAAAATTGATCCAGAGAAAATTGGTCTAGAAAAAATTCCTCAATATTTTCATTCTTATGCTTTCATCATCAAAATAAATATTCTCATTATTCAATTTCTGCCTACAGTGAAAGAGTTTTTCATTAACCAGTGGACATAAATGCCCACTGTTATATTCCCCAAACCTACTGTGATGACTCCCATCGTACATAAAAGGTCTACATAAATATATGTATGTATATGTGTGGGTTTTTATGCTAGTGAATTGAAAGAGAGGAAAGAGGCATGGTTCTGGATGTGTATATATAACTGGTTTGGTTGGTCTGAATTTTCTCTAGGTTGTTGGACTTTTTTTGGTCTGAACTGAATTTTCTCTGAGTTGGGTTGGTCCAGAGAAATTCTCTGGTTTGGTTGGTCTGAATTTTCTCTAGGTTGGTCCAGAGAAATTCTTTGGTTAATTTCTCTGAATTTTTATTCCACCAAAATCAATGCAGTATAATAACAGTGTATATAAAATAAATAATCCTTACAGTAGTCACTCATCTTGATGCGAAAAAAACTGAACTTCATAATCAATTTATATTTATTTTTGTTTGTCTTCTTCCTTTATTGTGGTTTTATATCTTCCATATTAACCAATATAGTTATGACAACAGGATAAGAGTGATGCTTTCATAAGGATAACAAATAGCATTTATGAGAAAGAGGAGAATGCTCCCTACCGAAGAGTGACAATTCTATTAATTTGAAAATGTTGAAGAACAGATTAATCCTCTTCTTGGGAAGGAAAAGCATAGTTGGTAGTGAAATCTGGTTCAAAATGATGGGGAGTTGTTGCAGGTTTTGAGGGAAAAGAGGATCCCAAACCCAAGGGGAGTTTGGGTCGCTTGGATGGAGGCTTGTAGCGTGGCGGCATTTCAAGAGGTGGTGAGTGCTGTTTGGCCGCCACAGACGGCGTCGCCGGGGACACCAACTGGGCATTTTGCAGTCTATGAAACTCCAACATTATTGATTAGAACTCCAACATCCAGACCATCAATGGTTTCACGAATCCGATTAACCCCTTTGTTCAAATCTCCAGAGAAATCAACAACCACAGTCTTGATCTGGGTTTTCCCGAATTTGGCTCCGATAGACTCCGAAACCTCCTTGAGTTTCTCGGGGTTTCGACCAACGAGAATCAAATTCAGACCTTTATGTTCCTGACTTGGTTATCCTCTCTGGCTATGAGAGTGCAGGTGTAATATAAGGGTACGGGGGTGAGGACCTTAGACTACAAAAAAACATATCGTGGACCTAATCCATTATTAAAAGTTGGATAGGGACCTTAGACCGATTTTTTCATAAATTTAACGCATCATTTAATATATATATGTATATATTTTTTTTGTTTGTATATTATATTCAAAATCTCAATTTTTTTAAATTACTACTCCTAAAAAAGATGATTTGTGGTGACATTAGCTGTTGTTAGAGACAAAAAACAAAACTTTTCCAATTCATTAATTTGTGAAAGAATAATATAAAGCGATAAAAAGCATACCGCGAAAAATGAAAGGATAAAAAAAAGTAGTAAATAAAAACATAAAATAGAGGAACTTGTATAAAATTTTAGAAAAAATGGTGAGAAGGGTATTTTAGTCCCTTTCAGAAAAAAATAATTCTTTAATAAAACATATTTATTGTTTTCACAACTTTTTATAACAGTGAAAGTTATTCATGTTATTAAATGCATTCTTAACCCATGTCCTAAAGGAACTTGTTAATTATAAAATTGAATTTTATTTTTGTAAATAACGTTTAGGGATTTTTTTTTTAAAATTTCAATCATACTTAAATTTGATGGTGTAAGAAAAATAAATCTAAAAATTATAACAAATATAAAAAAAAAAATCCATAATATTAATTAGCAAAGGAATTTTATTTTAAATTTTTTTAAATTTGTAAATGCCTTTTGTTTTCAATTATAATTAAACTGTATGGGGTAAGAAAAATGTTATTAAAAATTTAAAAATAAAAGGCATTTTAAAAAAAGCCGTGAAATGTTTCATTTAAAATTAAAGGGCATTCACTTTTATAAAAAAAAAATGTTAAAATAGAGACAATTAAAGAAAAGGTTAATTTGGTCTCCAACAATATGACATTTATAACCTATTCAATTTTCTATGAGTGGGGTTGGTTAAGGTGAGCGAATGCATCCTTAACAAGTGGTTACTTGTTGACAAAATCCTTATTACTTTTACATTTTTAACTAATTATTTAAAATTTAACAAGTTTCAAGGCACATTAAATAAAGAAGAAATTATTCATAAATCCCATATGAGAAAATATTGATTCATTTAGTTTTAAGAGTTTTCTTATGAACCAATTAATCGTTTTAATTTCAAAAAGTTGTGTTTATTTGATTTTGTGTCATTTAAGTTTAAGTGAATGTTTTTTTGTGATTCATTTTTGTACACTACAACAAAAAATGGTTTTTACGGCGCCAAATGCACATCGTGGATACAATTCTACGACGCGCAAGGTAACGCCATATTATAACCAATTATGAAAAGTCATTCACTTTTAACGGCATGTCGTAGCATGCTGTAAAAAATATTTAACAACGGATCTTGTGCGTCATGTTTGACTTTTCTACAACTAGTTTTGCACGCCGTTAATTAAGGGGGACAAACCATGACGTTCATTGCTAGTCGTTGAATATTTAATACAATGACCTATTTTGCCTGCCGTAGATAGCCTAAGTTTCACAACATTTTTTGCATGCCGTAGAATATGTATATTTAAAATAAAAAAAATAGCAGGTTTTATTTCATCTATAAAATACACGAAAACATTACAAACAAGTTTTACAAACATTTATATATATATATATATATATATATAAATATCAATCAACCACAAAAATATTATTTCAAACATAAAAAACAAAACTATCCGTAAGTTCTAAATATCCAAAAATTATCTATACATTCCAAATCATCTAAAAATTATGTTTCTAAATATCAAAAACTATCGAGTTCAAAGCCATCCAAAATGTTTTAAATCATTCAAAAAAAACTATTATTAAGTTCTAAACCATATAAAATTTACTCAAATATCTTCTTTTTAGGGCGCCATCATGAGTTGATCAATTGCATCAACACTCCGGCTTGTGCCTTCCATATCTTTGTAGTAGGAAATTCTTGACACTCGGCTTGTGCCCTCTACTAATTTGGTTTCAGGAATTGATGCATCCATTGTTTCCATCTAATAAAACATAAAATTGATGCGAATCATTGAAAAATAGTGTAAACTACAGTACCAAGCAACAATATGAAAGAGTGGTGAAGGAAATTGCAAATTATTTAACCAAAAAAATACACACTAAACATTCTAGTCAATTGCAATAGAAGTAAAAAGCCTTTGGAAACAATGATAAACTACGACATCGTTATCGCAAAGGAGTCATTATAATGGCACCAAACATTCAAAATTGATAGCTCTACCATGCCACAAAGGGTTCATTAAAAAAAAAAAAAAAAAAAAAAACCATTACCTCATTTATGTATTAATATTAATATGGAACCCAAAAGACTGATTAAATGAGGGAAAATGTTAGAGGTCCGAAATTTTTTATCAAATAAATGACCAAATATCTCACATGGGTGTGGGGCCCACAAAATTGCGGACCCCACATCCATGTGAGACATTTAGTCATTTGTTTGGTAGAAAATTTGGTGTCCCTATCATTACCCTTAAATGAGAGTTAACAATTCTATTTTGTGGAACCCAAAAACTGGTTCCTGGGTATATTACAATTCTATTTCACCAAACACCAAATATTTTAATTGCTAACAATTTCCATAGACAAAAGATGGGACATTGTCACACAACTAGCACAACTGCCTTTATGACAATCTGTACCAGTACATAAAACAATATTTTTCCTTTGGTTTGGGCATTCCTCTTTGAAAACTTTTGCCTTATCAAGCAAACCAAATTTTGAATCTTCAAACAAAATAACAAGTACCAAATAAAAAAGTTAATATTCATTTAGAAAAATTATGAGAAGACAACCTTGATCTTTTCAATCACACAAAATACCAAACACATAAAGGGCACCATATCCCAGGAATTGTAACTCTTCCAACACCAAAAGCATCACCTATTCACACCAACATAAGGGAAAACATAGAACAATTTAGAAGAGATTGAAAAACTACACCCAAATACCATATAATACATCCCCCCAAAAAAAATCTACAGAGAAGAAACATATAAGAAGGTCAATAACCAAAGTAATAATGGTTATGGAACTAAGTATTATATTATTTTGAAGGTCAATAACCAAAGTTCAAATTGCTCTATACTTTGGAAAACATGAACCGAAAGCAACTCAAAAATTAAAAAGCATCAACAAAATGCATAAATTTTTTTAGAAGTTAAGGAGACTCAAATTTGAGTCTCTTTATTGGAAGAATGTGACCTAAACCGTTGGGGTGTCGCCTAGGGAACACTGCCATAGTTCATACATGAGCCCATGAAAGTGTTTAGGGTAATCAAGAAGATTAGGGAAATCAAGAAGATTAGTGAGACTGGATCTTGTCATGGCCCACCTAGATGATGTAATGGGAGTAAGGTATATCTTGGTACAAATTTGAAATTATGAAATAGATTACTTAAATATGTCATATCACTAGAAAATGATTACAGCAAGAGTGGTGACATCAACTAGACATACTGGATTTTTGGAACAGATAACAAGTAAAACACAATCCAAAGAACAAGATGAAAATATATGGATGAGCTGAGGTAAAGGTTCAAAATTAAAACCTTTCAAGTAGTCACATATCAGGACATCCCTTGGCAGCTGCATAACTCTGGTTCTGCATGTTTCAGCAAAACACATTCCAGGCTTAGAGGTGGCTTGAAATCCAAGAATGTAGAACCTAATTACATTAAACATACCAGTAGCTCATCATAAGCTCTCCTATTTGTTGTTAGTTTAATGTTGAGAATGAACACTTGCGTACAGCAAGAGTAAGTGGCAAACCCCAACATCATCATTAGAGATTTGGAAGCAAGGTGTACAAAATTCCTACTTCATCCCTGGAAAATGTAGGCGAAGCATCAACGTCCTTAAAATTACTACTTATGTTGGCAAATGGTACGGAGATAATTAGCTATTTGAAGAATGGACCCCACAAACTTTTCCACCAAGGATCCTCTAGAGTGTTTTTTTCCTAAAGTTTCCTAAAGTGGTGTATTGTGTGGTTGAGATTTAATGTTGAAAAATTGATGTGACTTGTCATTAAATCTCAACCACACAATGCACCACTTTAGAAAACTTTAGGAAAAAAAAACTCTAGAGGATCCTTACTCCAAATTTTCATATTGTTGGTGCTTTCCTAAACCCCAAAATTTTCATACTTTCACAGTATTTTGCAGCAGAATAAAGTTGAGGCCTTAAATTCTTGAGTTCATGAAAGAGTCATAACATAAGGATCAAACTGGCATTAAGTCATTGACACAACAATTTGCAGTCAAACATGGAGCAGTACTGATCAACAAATTATTTGGAAGAAACAACTGCACAAAATATATGACCAGAATGAGCATAGCACAACTATCAAGCATAAAAATAGATTAACTACAACTTTCGAAAATAGCTGATCAAATAAAAAAGTTTCAGCTATTCAGTTATCGGAATCCGCAAATGTAAAGGAATTAACAAGTTTGTATAGTTTTTTAAACTTAAAGGATCCCTAGACAAGCATCTTGATTAAACAACATAACATAGCAAATAAAATTTATTAAAAGGTTTAGAATAAGAGAGAAGTGATAATTATATATAAAGTATTAAAATATAACATTGGCTTTTTTTTTTTTTTGGAATTTTTCAAAAAAAAATTACTTTTTTTAAAATTTGTGACAGGCTAAAAATAAATAAATAAATAAATAAAAAACTAAAATTGATGTAAATTTTTAAAAAATATTGGAAAAGGAGATGGCTAATTAAATGCATATCTGACAACTATAAACTCATCTACTTGTATGCATAAAATAAATTATATGACAATGAAATGCAAGAATCCAGTCCACCAAAAACAGATTCTTGATTTTCAAGATTGAACTCAAAAAAAATTTCATGTGTTTATTATTTAATTTTTTCAAATTCCAATCTGAATTTTTTTGTGGGTATTTTTCCAGATCAATTCTACTAATTAACATGCTCCATTGGTTTCACGCAATCAGCCAATTAAATTATTACCCAAATTAACAATCAATTTAAACTTTCATTCTCTCGTGTTAAATCTTCAATCCAACCACAAACCCAGAAAATTCCGATTCCAACAAATCTCAGACCCAAAATTCCCAATTCACAAACATTTGTTCACCGAAATTGTACAATAATCAGCAAAGAAACACAAATTGAGGCCCTAATTGCACAATAATTAATCCAAATTCAAAACTTAAACGTAACTCAAAGTCGAAGAGAGAGTAAGAAAGAGGAAGACTCACTCAGCTAGGTCGCCGAGTTGATGCAAGACGCCAACGAGACCGGCCATGGGTACTTGTTACTTTTGCAATTCCTGAGGGCATGTATGTAATTTTGGTAAAAATTCATCAGAAAATAGAGAAAACAACAGAAACCCATGAAAAAAAAATTAAAAATTAAAAATTAAAAATTGAGGGAAATGGGTAGTAGTTACTTTTATAATTCTGAAGGCTGACGACTCGAAGTTTCACGACTCAAATCTGTCCCTATAGGTTTAGCGTTGTAATCGGCCAGTAATTCTTAGATTACCAAAAGGCTCTGTACAGAATAACATAGAATTAAGGGGCCAACGGAAGCAAATATACAAAATATAACGTCCAATGAGTTGCGTTAACATACATGGGACATAAATTTTCAAACTTTATATATACATGCACGTGACGTCATAATTATAGTAGTCTCACATCACATTCATTACAAATATAATTAGAAGGGTACTTAGCCCAATGTATTGGTAAGCAGAAAATTTGTTCATATTCTAAAAAGAAAACAAAGTCTTAACGTTCACAAAACATGACCACTCGACTCTTTCCGGAACCTCCTCGGGAGGCACAAAGGGTGGCCAACAAAACAGAAGTCCAGGCGATCAACTCTGAGCATGGTCACGCGCCTGGTCACCTACATACATAAATAATAGAGTGAGTGAAAACCCAGTGAATAATAACAGAGTAAAGAGTTTTATGGATGATGTCCAAAACAATTTTCAAATCTCATAGCAAATCAGAATTATATTCATGCTCGTATCAGAAACAGAGTCATATTCTTATTCACATTCAAATCATGCGAGTACATTCATTAGTATTAACATATCTCTTTTGTAACGCCCCGAAATAAATCCAACATGAATAATACATAACCACATGCATTCATTAATTACACCCATTCTCCATTCTCTACATCAAGATCTCCATGGTTTATGCAAGAGTTTCACATGCAAATATACATTCAATGATAAGAAAACACCTGAATCTATAGCATGTGAAACAATTAGTCTCAAAATAAAGATAAAATAAGAGAAACGCCCTTACGGGCTTACATCTTCCAAAGCAATAGCCCGGTTACACAAAATGATCTCTCAGACCCATACAAATTTAGCCCTAGGCTTTACAAAAATTACAATAAAAGAAAGAGTAATCTACTCTTCGCCAAAACATATCCACACCCTTAGCTCGGGAGGATCATAACATCTTTACCAGCACCAAAACCCATAGGGGTGAGCATAAAGCCCAGTAGAGAAACCTTAACAAAGTATATACATTTATGCAAGATTCTCAACATTTAATGTAAGTGCAAATGTTATGCCATGCCATTTCAAGATAATCTCATGTCATGCTTTTCTTGAAAATCACCAAGGTTTTAAATAAACATCTTTCAATCTCATTAATTTCCCAACTTCAATTTTAAATCATAAGGGGGCGGTAAATACGACACTGGTAATCTCTAGGCTGGTGTTTGCAAGTAGATTCTATGAGTACTACTAAACTGTCATTTTTACCGGTATTAACCGGAAGGCTTGACACCTATCCGTGAGGTTTTCTGGTCTTTCACCATGGACACTCAGGCCAACTTAACAAGTTCAACTACACCCCCTATTCGGACTTACCACGTATTTACCCCATAAACATAACCATAGTTCTCATTATAATATAACATTTCTCAATGTAAATGTTTTCCAAACTCATGTCAAGATGTATAAAAATGACAAAATTTAAATAAGGATATGATGCAACAAATGATATCTCATAGCATTTTTTCATTTACCTTCCTCCAATGCCATCACACAAAATAATCACATGCTCCACCGATGCTAATTAACACATAGCATTAGCTCATCATCATACACATTTCTTCACATTCTAGTCATTCCAAGACTATATGAAATTTTCAATATCAACCAAGTTTTCAATTCTCAAAATCCATGGTGCTCAACAATTATCACCTCACAATAAAATATTTTTCATGCAAATAACAACAACTTAAAAGTAAATCCCTTATTTTCATATGTCAAGGAAATTATCACTTTTCTTACCAAAATGTGAACCCCACACTCACACACCCATTTAAACACAAGAAAAGATGTTTATTCCATGGATTTCCCATGTTTTCAAAAAGTCCCAATTTCTAGGCTTTCACAAAATCAAAACATTTTTCATCTCCTTTATAAAATCCCTTCATACACATCAATCTCAATCCATAAGGCTCAACACTTCTCAAAAATCTTTTAAAAGAAGGTAAGATGAGTTTTTCTTCAAACAAAATCAACAATTTCTTGAACCCTAGACTCCATTTTCAAAATACATGAAGGAGTTCACAAAAAAATCAACTAAAACTTGCATAAACATACATATAACTCTAAGGAAACCTTACCTCAAGGTGTTGATGATGAAGAGAAGATGGAACCCTAGCTTTTGACGGAAGATCCTTCAACCTCTACCACACCAAGAGAGACCCTAGATCTAGATCTTCAAGATTTAGAGGAAGATGTTGATGATCTTGATCCAAGATTTGCAAGAATCTAAGTGTTTTAGGTGTTTAAGGGAGTTTTCTAGAGAGAAGGGGAGAGAAAAATAGGGTTTAGAGGGAGAGAGAGATGACCAAAATGAGAGAGATATTCGGACAAAAGATATACAAAAAATAGAGTTTCAGACTGCCCAGTTGGCTGCTCGTGTGGCCTCCTCCACCGCTCGAGCGCCCACCTCCACCGCTCGTGCGACCCACTTTCAGAATGCAAGATTCTGGGTTTCAGCCTCCACCGCTTGTGCGGCCTAGGGCCCCACACATGCGGCCCTGGCCCAGCAGCCCAAAATTCCTATTTCGCTCCCGGCACTCTGGACTCACTCGCGCACCCTCCGGAACAAGCGGAATTCAACACCGAACGAAAAAAGAACTAGAACTCTAATCTAAGAACCATTCCGGACATTCAAATCCAACGAAAGTAAAAGGGAAAAGAAGCAATGAAAGAAAGGGAGAAAGGGAAAAAGGGCTCGGTCATCACAACCTCCCTACCATAGGAAATGTCGTCCCCGAAATTTGAACAAACTTCCCCCAAAATTAAATAAACTCACTAAACAAGAGTGCTCCAACAACAAAATCATTCTTTTAACAACATTATCAAGTTTCAACAACATTCTCAAATCACAACATCTATGTTCAACCAACATTTATCATCCTTATCATCATTATATCAAAACACAATCACCAAGCTAGGAATAAAATGAAACATTTATAACAAAACATCATCTTTCCATAACATCATGCTCCATTCAACAATACATACAACAACATGTGATCAATTTCTCAACACTTTTCCCTTCAACATTAGGTAACATTATAAATTTAGAACAAAACCACTAAACAAGATCAAATAAATTCGGATATTTGGAGCGGACCTCCAAGTTGTTTCCTCAATCCCATGGTGTCTCCACAACACCTTCACTAACGATTATGGTCTTGCCCCGCAACACTTGCCCTCGGGTATCTAAAACTTGAACCGGCCGCTCTTCGTAGGAGGCGTCCTCATCCACCTCCAAATCAACCCAATCTAGCACATGAGAAGGGTCCGGTTCGTACCTCCTAAGCATGGACACATGAAACACATTGTGAACCCCCAAAAGTTGTGGCGGTAAAGCTAACCGGTTTGTCACTTCCCCGATTCTCTCTAATATCTCGAAAGGTCCAATGAACCTCAGAGACAACTTACCACTCTTGACAAACCTCATCAAACCTAGTCTAGGTAAGATCTTAAGGAACATATGATCGCCCACTTCAAAGAACTAAGGTCGTCTCCTCTTACCGGCATAACTTTTCTGTCGACTTTGAGCCGTAGCTAACCTTTTTCGGATGAAAGCAACTTTCTCGGTTGTTTCCCTAACAATCTCTGGACCCAACAACGGTACATCCCCTACCTCGGCCTAACAAACTGGTGACCTACAAGGTCGGTCATACAAGGTCTCAAACGGTGCCAAGGAAGACCTCTCAACCAACCAAGGAAACACAACACCAACTTCCGGCCACAACCAAATTTGGAATACTACCCCGACTCTAGGAACGCCAAGGATACCGAATTAGTCAAGAACACAAGGATAGGGTCACAGACTTCCCCTCGATTCACACCACTCACTGGGCCTATGAGACAAGAACAACAAACAACCACGACAACCACACGCTCGCCCTGAGTATCCACCACCACTAGCCCAAACACTCTCCACGCTTAGCACTCCAACAAGATGGGAACTAGGTTTCCATTACAAGGTCCTTGGTTACCTCATTTAAGGAAAAGGTTATAACAAAACTCGGCTCAAGACAAGACTCCAGTCTAACAAGTTCTTATAACGCCCATAAATCCACATAACCGAATGTACAAAACTCAAGATTTAGAATACAATTAAAGTGGTTACACCATCACAACTATAAGGGTACATTAATTAACAACTCAATTCCAAAAGAAGGTTTTCATATTTTTCTTAATTATTGGTAAAAGTCATCTCTTTACATGCAAAACATTTTCTCAAAGGTATTCCAAACTCACACCGGTCACAAGTCAAAATACATTTTCTTCCTTTCAAGCAAAAATCCACAATTCGTTCATTTTAATTTCCGCTCCACCGTAACAACTGGCGGATCTCTGCCGTTAACCAACAACACCCATCACCTACATAGTGATGCCACAACCGCAACAACATAGCATAGCATTTCCACAATACTAATTAATAGAATACAACAATTATACCATTTCGTTCGGCCAATAACATTATTATTACCACGCAAGTTAGTATTCACACACAATAACGACATGACCACATAAACTAGTCAAAATAAGGATTGTTCTTCTCACCTTGAAGAAAAATCTTTTTCTTAGTTATACATTTTCGCCAAAATTTTACTTGAATTTGTGCTGTTTTCCAATGAAAGATTCGTGTTATAAACTTCGAGTAAAAACAATTTATTTTGTAAATTTTTTTTTTCAAAACAAGCCTTGAAATCTCTCTCCAAGGGTCTTAGTTGAAATAGAAATGCCATGAAAGTTTTCAAAGACCAATAATCACTTATCAATTTATCTTCTCAACAACA